ACCAAGGATTCCTGGGTGCTATTCCCAGCTCTGGGAGGGGAGTGGGGTTAGAGCAAGGGAGGGAGAATGGGAGCTGGGATTCCCAACCCCAGCACTGACTCACGGTGCGACCCGTAGCTAGTCCATTCCTCACCCTGCTTTGATTTCTAGGCAACGGGCGCCTGGCTCGGGAATTGGTCAGTGTTTAAACCCTGGGCAGCAGCATCTCTTCTGCTGACACAGTCTGCGCCCTTCCCACGGGGCTCTCCCCCCAGTCCTGATTTCTTCTCTAAACCCAGCCCCGTCTCCCTCAGCTATTTACTTTTTATTCCCAGCAGCCTGGGCCGTTTGTGACCATGGGCTCCCTCGTCTGCCCGCCTGCGCACCCTGCACTGATGAGAGATCTGTGTTTCGCAGAGTCAGGCAATTCAACGGGTGTCCTGGAACCTCTCTTCCAAATCGCTGCTTGTGTCTTGGATTTAGGCTGCGGCTCAAGAAGCAGCTTCCTCGTTTCATTTGCCCAGATTTGTCCTGCCTGGCTGTAACGCGGGAACAGAAAAGGCCTGGGAAGAATCAAGAATAACAAACCCTAAAATCCCTCCAGCCCCTTGTCAGCCCAGAGCTTCCGAACATTTTGCTCACAATGAGGCCTGGAGGAACGAGACCCACCTACCTCCTGTTGTACAGACAGGGAAACTGAGGCCTGCGGAGTGGTCCAAGGTCACAAATCGCATGGCAGTGTTGGAAAGAGAACCCCGGCGTCCTGGCCAGGGACTGAGCAGCAAAGTTTGTAACTGTTTGTCAGGAAGCCCGTGGGGTGGGGGGAGCAGAGAGAAGAAACGATTGACCCTTTACTTGATAGCGCGAATTGTGCTTTGCTGACATGCATGTAAAACCTTTTCCCATCGCATGGTGCAGAGAATAACACACGGACTCTATGGCGTCATCAACGCATTTTCAGCGAGCGAATTAATATATCTGTTAAAACTGGCTCTCCGAGTCTTTGGCTGTAGTGGAAATAGGTGATGGCCCAGCTCCTGGTCCAGCTGTCTTGGGCGGCCGGACGCTCCTTTCCCATTAGAACAGGGGTGGGCAAACTACGGCCCGTGGCCGGATCCGGCCCGTCAGGGCTTTGGATCCGGCCTGCGGGATTGTCACCCCCGTGGTGCAGCAGGGCTAATACAGGCTCCCTGCCTGCCCTGGCCCCGTGCCACTGCTGGAAGCGGCCGGCACCACATCCCTGCGATCCCTGGAGCAGGGGGGACCCTGAGCCCCTCCTGCACCCTGCACCCCCTGCCCTGAGCCCCCCTCTCCCCCCCCCACCCCACCCCAACCCCCTGCCCTGAGCCCCCT